CCATTCATATTTCTAACCTTAAAAAGCCCCTAAACGTATCCTTAAGCAGAAAACAAATCTCTCACAAATAAAAAAAACCTTGAGCATTAGATTAAACTCAATTTATTCCAAAAATAAGTCTTCAGTGTGAGCAGAATGATACATCACTTGTTTGATCTTTAGGTGTGATAGCCCTATGGCAAACTCCTGCTGCTGCAGTACTAACAGGCTTGAGATTGAGTCCTCATTTCCTTTTTCTTCTACCTCTACCCCTCCCCTTGTAGAATGGAGATTAAATGAATTGGTCTTGTATAGTGAAGCTTGAGCGCTGACCTTCAAATGTCAGAAACAGACTGGTTCATATTAAAGTTATGAGAGGGATAACTAACATCTTTATTTCCTCACATTTATGCTGGCTCATAAACACAAATATGCATGCAGAACTAGACAAATGTAGGTTGCAACAGCCTTTATGAGTCATAGTCTCCCCGGATAATTCTCTCATATATTTAGCATAGTAATATCTTCCAATGCTAATTGATACATTTTCAACAGCAGTGGCCAAATGAAATTATGTACTTTGACAAAACTGGTTTGGAAAGTGTGTCTACATGTGCAGACTATAGAAAGTACAACTCTGTCCTCAAAGGCAGCTAATTCATGTTATTTTTAGAGGATGAGAACCTTTGCCATAAAGATGGATTACATTCATGCTAATGCTATTGTTATTGCATCTAATTTCACCACTGTGAACTCCCAGTTGAGGGTGTTTTCAACAACGTGCATTTTGTTCTCACTGCAAATTACAAAATGTATTTAGGCTACTCATGAATTCGCTTATAGGATTCAAAATCTACACCAGCATGTTCAGTGTCTTGATGGAAACACAAAGCACAGGAAACACAACGCTTAAATAAAATAAATATTAAATATGAGGAAATGCACGCAACTCCTGTTTATAACGCAGCTACACATATGTGAATTTTTGCACCCTTGGCTTTGCAGTTGAGAAAGTACGGGTTTCATGAATGGAGCCTTTACGCCCTCTGCAGGAGACCGAGTCATTGCCAGTTTGTGACATTTGCAGTTTTTTCAAGTCTTCTGTGCTGTAGCAGGGTTTAAATATATCTCTAATTCAAGATCATTTTGAGGGATATACAGAGAGAGATTGAGATATCGCTTTTGTATTTGAATTTAAAACCAATAAATCAAAGGTCAAAATAAATGGACTATACAAAATTGACATATTCTTATTCTTTGGTGATTGTGTCCTGTTTTATCGAAACATAAACACACAAACTTAAAGTAATATTTCACCCAAAAATGAAAATCTTCACTTACTCACCCTGAAGCTGTCTCAAACCTGTATGAGTTTATTTCTTCTGCTGGACATAAAAGGAGATATTTTGAAGAACACCTCACTCCAAATTTCTCTCAATATGTGGACAGGATAGATGCCAGTGAATAAATGAGAAAACGAAGTAACTGGCATTACTTTTTTGAAAGAGTAACTCTGATATTTCTTTGTAAATTTAAAAGTAATGTGTTACTTTACTAGCCACTTGCAAAAAGTAATCTGACAATTACTTGCAATGCATTATCCCCAAAACTTAAAGAATATGGGTAACCAAACAGTTTCCGGTGCACACTGACTTCCATATTTTTTTCCATACTATGGAAGTCAGTGGGGACCGGCAACTGTTCCAGAACTATCCAGTCAGGTTTGGAACAACTTGAGGGTGAGTAAATGATGACAGAATTTTCATTTTTGGGTGAACTATCCCTTTAACAGACATATTAGGCTACGTACTAGAGCTTGTAAAGAGCAGATACAGTCAATGGATTATTGGCTCAAATGTATTATGATATATGATATATATATATTATATATGATTGATATATATAATTACATGTATATGATATATACTATGTCACGAACTGCTATGAGACTGGGTTGATATACATTACAACACTTTATCAACAATCAGTGTATCTATCCACTCTGAATGCAAAAATGTGGCATGACTCTAAAGAAATTAATAAATCGGAAGTCTCGCACATTATAGCTTAGGCTACTTCCTTGTTGAAATATAATGTGGATTTGAGTGACCCATCTCTGCTGTTATGTCTCTAATGAAGTGTATATTTAACCCATAATATTAATTTAAAACTAAGCACACCTTGACTTCCATGATGCTTCAACAGACCTTATCATGGTTTTCCTTGTGGAAAATTGTTAAAAAAAAGTGACTGACAAAATGTGGCATTACTGATTTCTTTTCATAGTTTTGACAAAACTTTTGTCACTAATTTCTTTATTGTGTTGCGCCTATTTAGGGCGCATTCTTAGAATGTGACTTGAAATGTGCATGATAGCCTGAGATTTAAAGTATAATATTCTGGATTAAATAAACACTTTACAGCAGAGATGGGTCACTCATATCCACATTATATTTCAACAAGGAAGTAAGCTATTTCTTGTGAATGTGTGAGACTTCCGATTCATTAGCCGCTAATTAAGAATAGAAGAAAGTGCAGGAAATCCTAAAACTATTTGTACTTAATAAAAACAATTACAAAAATGAATAAAAAATATGATAACAAATACCAGTTTGGAACATCAAGCAGTGTAACGGACTGTTTTTGTACAGCTAAAATAATTGGAAGTGGCTCACACCAGAAGCCATATTCAGGGTAAAAATGGCATTGGACACTTTAATATAAATGGAAGAAATTGTAAAGTTAAATATGCAGTCCCACCATAGATGTCAGTGACCAAGCAACCATGGAAAATCACAATATATTCCCCATTAATTTTAACCAAACAAAAAATCGATTGGGAAGCCCTCTGATTGGTGGATGTCACATCGGGTCGTAATACACGCAATGCCCCATTACTAGAATTTGCCTTTGCATTTTGTTTAAAATTTACAGGTTTATAATGGAAAATGAAAACTTCAGTTAACACCAGCATTCTCTGTCATAAATAATAAATAAATCAAGTAATAAATGTAGGGACAAAAGCAACATTGAAGAGGGGAAGCAAAAGAACTAAAACATAAACCCTGAAAAATTGCTGTTTTGGAACCGCCAGCAGAAACGTAAATCAGCACCTCTGAGTTCCATCCAACTAAAACCCAATCAAAGCCAATCGTTTTTTTGTTTACTGTGGAATGTGAATGTGCAATAGCATGACAAGCCACATAAAAAAATGTTTTAAACTAAGAAGCACATTGTTGTCAGGTTTTATTTGAAATATGTTTTTTGAACTTAAACTTTTTGACCAACAGTTTTGAAGCTTTCTGTTTTTAACCATTCATGTAAATTGGAAATCCACACAATTTTTAGCCAATCAGAACCCTACAGAAATGCTCTCTGTGCATGCAGTCAGTTTTGGGTTCAGGTCTGCTCAAGGATATAATACCTAGAGAAATCTATCCCTTATCGTTTCAGTTAATCTCTGTGGCAGTTGCTTAGTTAGCACATTGAAATGTACTTATTTAGAACACAAGCTTTTGAATGGGTGTCCGTGGAGAAAAAAATATATTTTTGCCACCGTGTAGTTCCAGCAAATACCAGCAGTGGCTAAAGTGAATAAGTTCAGCAGCCAAACTGACGTAAACAATCTCTTCACATTTACTGTTGATTGCACTTTACTTGCATATTGCAGGATTGTTTTTAGATTTAAAATAGTTTGTGCTGAAAGCCGTTAATGTTGGTCTGAAATGATTTGGGATTTTTATCTGTTTGTTCCTTCGTTGAATTCTTCAGAAGGATACCTAAATGCAAACACCAGCAGGAACTACTTGCAGCCAGAAACACTACAAGGTTTGTTAAACTTTTATTCTTATCATTATCTCGTCTGGTGTTCAGGACTAACAGTATCTGGGTTTTCATGAATTCCTCATGATATGATCACTTTAAACTGTGAATGACCCAGAATATTCCTAACACTTTGCTCAGTCACCACTATAGGGTATTCTGTAGGCTATACTTTTTACTTACAAACGCTATCTTTTATTCCACTTCAGAAAACTTGGTCTAAACGTACTGTTAAAATGTAAAGGAAAAAAGGTCTAGTTTTATAAGTCCCCTATTAGCCTAACTAACAATGAGCAATACATTTTTACAGTGTTCATTCATCTTTGTTACAGTAAACTAATAATAAAAATACAACTGTTCATTGTTAATTTTAAAGTTAGCTCAGGTCTAAATAATAGGCTATTAACAGATACAACTTTTGATTTACATTATCATTTTTAATCATATATTAATAGGCTAAATGTTGAAATTAAGATTAAGAAATGCTTTAGAAGTATTTTAATTGTTAGTTCATATTAAGTAATGTAGTTAACTAATGTTTAAAAATGAAACCTTATTGTAAAGAGTTAGGCTACAACAAAAATACGGGTGTGCATTTTTTCCAACTTTATTCTTTATTTTTGTATAATACTATTCCTATAGGAAATACTGAACAGAGATATATTAATAGGCTAAATGTTGAAATTAAGATTAAGAAATGCTTTAGTTAAAAAAAAAAGTATTTTAATTGTTAGTTCATATTAAGTAATGTAGTTAACTAATGTTTAAAAATGAAACCTTATTGTAAAGAGTTAGGCTACAACAAAAATACGGGTGTGCATTTTTTCCAACTTTATTCTTTATTTTTGTATAATACTATTCCTATAGGAAATACTGAACAGAGAGCCTTAATTTCCAATTTGAACAATATTAACCTAAAATAAAATGTGTAAAATGATTCTTTAGGTATAAGGAGTTAATGAGAATCGGTTAATGAACAGCTGAATATGGTAACATGTAAACACAAACAATAACAGGAAATGTAAAAAAAATAATCCGTAAAAAAAATCACGTAATGCTATAGGCTAGTTGTAAAACTTCAATGAATCTGTCGTATATGCTTTGGGTTTGTGTTTACATCGTTTATACAGCCCCTCAAGTGTCCGGAGGGAGGCGTAACCAAGCATCTGCTCTCGCTCTCGCTCTCACTCGCACTCGCAGGAGGAGATGCCAGACACTGCCCTTAACACGCTCGCGGAATAACTCGCGCGGGAAACAAAGGCTTGGCTGCTGTTAAGTCAACAGTCGCGCGCTCCATCCTGAAGCCATGTGAGAGATCTGCTGCTGCGAAGGGACGCCAGAACACATTGACCGTCGGGTTGAGCGCCGCTCCCCGGAAAACAGAGAGCACACGTCCCCGCCAAGAGCCGTATTTGCAACCCGAGAGAATAACCGAATTAGTGCCCATCAGTAGATAGTAGTAGCCCAGTCATATTGATCGCCTGTATCGTTTACGCCTCCGAGCGGGGGTTCGTTTTTTTTCTGAGCGGACGCGAGAGAAACATTCGCTATCAAAAGGGAACGGGCTGACCACTGAGTAAGTATTCATTTCAGAACAATTGTTATTTTCCTGCGGGTTTTATTTTCTTTCGTGACATCTCTGTGTTGTTGTGCTGAAGGCTTGCATTGCGATGGCGCTTTAAATCGTCTGAATGTCTTGAATACATTGCAACAACCGCGAAATAACAGGATTGCAACGTAACAATGCGAGATAAGTTACATTTACCTTTTCGCAGACACTACAGAGGGGTTAATAAGCTACGCAAAGGTTATGTCTTTCATCATATGTTTACATAAATTGAAGTATCTTCTGTGGCCCAATAACACGCTGGTGCGCTTTGCAGCGCATCCCCGTGGTACAGCAGTACGCGCTCGGGTGTGGGAGAACCACATCTAGCAATATACTGATGAAACTGGGTGGATGATCCAATATGGCCGTGTAGACCTGGAGTTAGCAGCATATGATGTTTTCGTATTCATTTGGATTTTGGCCATTTAACTGTTCGAATCTGACATAATTTCCCCGCGCGTGGAATCAAATGAGCTTCACGTCTGACGGGATTCTGATGCGGTTTTTTTCCTGTCAAATCTTCTCCACACCCACCGCGTCCATGGTGCGTTCCTTCCCCAGATGGAAAAGGTTTATTTTCGCCAAGGGCAAAACGGACCGTGAAGCGTTTTGTATTATACACGTTACGTAAAATAGTTTATTTATAATAGCTGTGAAATATATCGTTTTGTGTGGAAATAACAAGTGGCGCAACAAGAGGGGAAGGCACGGTGATGTCAACCCTGGTACATATCCAATGCTAAAGCTTTGTCAGTCAAGTTTACGCTCCCATGAACATTTGAGGCACTAGGGTCATTGGTCCCACCAAAGCAGGTTCCTAAAGAAAAAAAAAATCAATGCTTCTGGAATTAGAGTTGGTGCTCTAGAAGTTATAGTGCATTATTTTATGAATTGTGTAAATGTTATACCCTAGAGATATTTTTTATAAAAGTTAAGAGTCAACCATGCCTACCTAAAACGCCTCGTTCTAACATTCCCCCACATATCTATGTCACTATGTGGAAATATTAGCATAATGCCGCCCAAATGTTCACGCAAAGAAAGAAGGCGTAACTTTTATTCTCGCTGTAGTATTGTTGCCGCCGCCATGTCGTGAAGGCGCTGTGTTTCGTTGTGAAAGGGAAACTACTTTGTTTGGCCTTCCAAAAGAGGACGGTGCTGGTTGCTGAGGAAATACAACAACTTTGCGCTGTGGATTGCCGGATCGGCTTTCACCGTGGACAAAGCGAAGTCCAGCCCGGGGTCGTCACATGTGGTTGCCGCAAGCCTCCTTCGTCAAATCCGCCAGCCGGATATATATATATATATAAATGTAATTAATTATTATTATTATATATCCTACAAGCCATTCAACTCTACCAGGAGAGAACTCTCAGGAGTTTACATCACCATGAAGATGGGTCTGCTTTGTTGTAACTGTCAATGTAATTTGTAATTGGAACCCAGTGCATAAATAGGACCAGACATTTTTGTCACCCCAAAGTTTATTCCATATACACAAAAAGAAGCCTTTGGTTGATATTGTGGCATGTTTTTTCATGCATTCGATTTTCTCTATAGAAATCTAGCCATGATTATCTATTGGCGGCTCTTTGTCACTTTTGGCGTTTTAAACACTTTTGTTGGCCAGAGAGTGAACCAGTGAAAAGGTCACAGCATGGCTTCAGTGTGTTGCCCAGCAGTGGACTAGTGAGAAGAAACAAGCTGTAAGATAAGTGCACCCACACTGGAGACTTCACAGATTGGATAAAGCTGGCCAGTGTTGTGTTTTTCCTGGACTCCCAAGTGCTTTTCCAATGCTGTCAATGAGATGTGGCGAAAGGAAATGGCTGCATGGTGTTGAAACTTTTCAAAGAGTTTCTCCTCATTCCTCCATTCCTAAACCACTGATGCAGTGTTGTACTAATTTGCATTGAATTTTAGAACTAGTGAAATTTATTACAGATTAGTTGAATAAACCTAACAACTGGTAAGATTACATGCATGCTATTGAAATGAAGAGGTTTATTATTATTATTAATAATAATAACAATAATAATGTTTATTTTATATAGGCTAGCGGCTTTCTGAAAATAATACTAACACACTATTATTCTTTCAGGATAATAATCTCATGTGACCATACAATTTAAAAAACAGCCAAGTCCAAATGTGTCTGTCAGCTAGAGGTTATACAGAAAGTTTTGGTGTCAGACTATAGGTTTCTGGAAATCTGGAAATGTCAATTAATTAAATTAAATTGTGATTTTCAGGACAGGAAAAGTAATGCAAATAAATAAAAACAGGTAATATCTTGAATTTACATAGTTAATGTAAGTTTTTCTATTTTAGTGCTACAAATTGATTTTGTGAGAGCAATTTTTATTTGTATTATACAGTATTTATTAGGGATGCTCCGATCGATCGGCCGGAGATCGGTATCGGTATCGGCCAATAATCACATTTTGTGACTTGATCGGTACTCACTAACTTGGCCGATCTCAAAAACCGATCGCAATTTGATGACGTCAACGCGTGACAACGTACATGATGCGTGGGGACATAAATGATTTGGCGCCACAGTCATGTCATCGCCGTTGTGGAAATGCTATGACGTTTCGAGAAACAATGAAAAATTAGCTATTTGTCGTGTATGTTTTGCATGATGATATGATGAATGGATGGTTCATTTTTAACAGCAGATTTAGTGATGTTAGAGCTGATCTGCGCCTCACTGCACGCGTCTGCGGCGCGTTACGGCTCCACGGCTACCGGAGCTGATCGCGGCCGCTCTATTCAGTGCTTGTGTTTATCGCACGTTTCTGAAGCGGCTCTCCGCGCTGCTTAGCTAAAACGTGGAGGACGGAACAAAACCTCCTCGGAACCGTAAGGGATAACGGTAACATAATACGCTGATCATGGGCTGCTTTTAAATTAACATTTATTTATAAAACAAAATATCTTTGGCCATATTAGCCTACTCAGAAGCATTAACACAGGCTTTACTCCTTTCAAACTTTATCTGAAATGTCACCGTTTCTGTCACCGCAACTTCCCGATCAGGCGAACGAACACACACACACGAAATCGTCAAAAAAAAAAAAATGTAGTTAATATTTGCATAATTTATGATTTATTTTATCCACCCGCAAATAATCAGAATGCATTTATTACCTGACCCGTGGATATAGGAAAAGCAAAATATGCTGCGTAAATCAGACGGACTTACTGAAAATGCAGATTAATTCTCTGCCAGCAGGAGGTGCTTTAAAGCGTGAGAAACAGAGGTTTCCCCAGTAACGCTGTACACAAATCAGCGCTGAGCTCACAAACGCTGCTTTATCAGGCATATAACATGCAAGATTAAATGAAAATGACATCAAAAATTTTCTAAAGATAGTCTTCCTTCAGAAATACAGTGATATAAAAACACCTGCGCCTCGTTTTGATTTTTACACGTGCAGTACGTGCTCATGTTTAATCAACGAAGTCTTTTGGAAAATCCATCAGTTTTGATACTGTGGCGAGCGCCACAAATAAATAAATGTATGGGAAACACATCCCACAGCACAACCACCTGAACCCAACTTCAGTCTACTCATCACCTTAACTTTAACTGCGTTTGTAGCCGGCTCCATAGCCAGACTGATAAACAAACACAGACCGGAAGTTAACTTCGGGCCAGACGTGTGCACCTGATGAAACCGTCTATATATAAAGCTTGAAGCATCAGAATCGGCATCGGTATTGGCCGATCACTATGACAAGAAATCGGTACTCAGTATCGGCAGCAAAAATCCTGATCGGAGCCTCCCTAGTATTTATATGTATGTATAAATATAGTAGCCTATGTCCTTAGTGCAAACTGATGATATTCACATTGTTAAACTACTTGGCAAAACCTGATTGGTTCATGTTGCATATGCACCCAATGAATAGAGCAGTTCGCAGCATGCTTTCAGAGTTCCTCTGAAAGCCTTCACCTTCCCCAGATTCCACCTGTATAGATCTGCTATGGGTTACTATGTATGCTATGTGCGCAGCAGCAGTATGTCTTAAATACTCACCACACCATAATGTCCGTCCTGTGCACTGAGCTCTCTCACATCCCCATCATGAGTAGACACGCCCCTTCTGCTGAGTATGTCCTTTAGAGGCCCAGCCACAGCTTGAACCCAATCAAATATTTCTGGAGAAACCTGAAAATGTGCGTCTGCCCCATCCAACCTGACAGAGCTTGAGAGGTGAAGAGGTGAGGTGAAGCATAGCAGATAATTGCCAAATGCTGATGAGCAAAGCTTGTTGCATCAAACAAAAAAAGACTTGAGGCTGTAAAGGTGCTTCAGCTAAATATTTAGTTAAGAATACTTATGCAATGTACTTATTTAATTTTTTTTAATTTTTTATTAATTTACGAAGTTGTGTCAATTCTGTTTTTGCTTTGTCAATATGGTGTATGGAGTGTAGACTGATGTGGAAAAAAAACTAATTTAAAGCAGCTTAACATAATGCAGCAACATAACAAAACGTGAAAAAATTAGTATACTTTCGCAAGGCTATATATATATATATGAAAAGTCATAGAATTTCATTGGCCAACCGGCGTGGTAACCCTGTTAGACCTTGAGCAAATGGTTATGCGTGTTTTGTCAACTGTTATCCCTGAATCATTTGCTTATCACTTTTGTTACCGTCCATGTTGCTCCACTTTTCATGAGTGGGCTTGCTTCATGAATCATCCTCGGCGTGATCTCAAGTGCTGCATTTGTGACTATCTACACTAGTGGGTTAAAATGCAGGTGTTAATGCAACATTGAGTGTTTTTGCACCAAGGAGAGGGTCTGGGTGAGTTTGAGTTCAACAGTTATTCCATCGGTCAACAGTTAATACTTTGGTCTGAATGTAGAGAAGCAAATCACTTAAGCAATTGCTTAGATTTAATCTTGCATGATCAGTTCCATTGTGAATGATTCTTTAGGTCTGAAATCAGAGAGACATAACATATCGACAAACATTCCCTGTGAGGGAGTGAACATGTGACTGGCTGTGCTCGGGTGGGCCATTGAGATCACCAATCAGCTGGATGACTCTCCCCTGCAGCCATTTTCAGGAGAGAAGTTTTTTTTCTGTGGACCAGTGCAGAAGCCTGCAGTAAAACAAGCTTTGACAAAAGACGTCGTTGTACCAGGTTCAACATGGCTTTCCACTGCCCATGTTCCCATTCCATGGTTTTATCCATGTGTCCCTTTTCCTTTGATATTTTTTTGTAATTTTCCTCAATTCATGCATTGTATTTTGCCTCCTTCACACAGGATGCTTATCAATGTAGCCAACAAGCATGTAACCACAAATGTTTGGACTGCTTGTATTAATATTAACCCTGTCTTTACTGCAAAGAGGAGTTTTGGTTTCTCTTTTACAGTATTTATAACCATATCAAAGTCGTACAGAACTATTGGAGCCAGCAACGTTGGTCTTACCTTGGATTGGGCTTTATGTAGGAGCTCTGGAATCAATTTAGGTTGGAATGCAAGAGACTGTTAACAGTCTTGAAATTTGCATGCCATTCATAACTTCTCCCTTCATCGCTGTTGGACTGGTGTTTGCGATATATCGGTTCATATCTGGAGTTTGATTTCTGAGAAGAGAAAAAGAGCTGCCCACTTCTTTTATCGATTCTCATCGACCTGTTTTCCCTCAAAGGAGAGAAGTGCAAAACACTCTTGACAGGCTAGGCTCATATTTTATAGGAGTGAAGCATGTGGAGACATAAAACAGGGTCCATAAATGCATTGTGGAAGTGTACAGGACGTTAGTTCAAATTTGCAGGTATAGGAACGTACAAGGTCTTTAAGAGGAAATGATGTGTGTGTCTAAAGATCAGGCAGGGATCTGGCCATGCAGTATGAAACAAAATTGCTATACTGAATGCTATGCTTTAAGGTAAATGAAAAGTGAAGATTATTACTCTATTACTCCTGTTGGGTGAACTGTTAACACGAAATGTTTTTTTTGTTTTTTTTGCAGAATGTCGGAAGCTTTGTCACAGCAAGAGAGACTTCGGGCCATTGCTGTAAGTAAATAATTACACTGATTCTAATTTATTTATATTACAGTTGCCACAACTAATCAAAAGTAATTGATAATAAAAATAATGAATGAATCCAAATTTTTTAAAAGAAATGAATGCATTTAATTAGCAATGATGCATTATTTAGTAAAGACATTTTTAATGTTACAAAAGATTTCGGTTTCAGATAAGTGCTGTTCTTTTGAAACTCCTATTCATCAAAGATGAATGAAATTCAGTTTTACCATCACAGGAATAAATTACGTTTTAAAATATATTAAAATTGAAAACAGTTATGTTAACTTGTAATCATATTTCACAATATTACTGTTTTATTAACTTTTTCATCAAATAAATGCATAAGAGACTTCTTTCAAAAACATAAAAATACCTCAGCAGTCCTAAACATTTAAACAGTAGTGTATACCGAAAATAATACTTGTATTTATATATGAGTAATTGGTAACACTTTAGCATAGGGACCAGTTCTTACTATTAACTAGTTGCTTATTAGCATGCCAATTAATAATATATTGGCTGTTTATTAGTGCTTATAAGGCTCATATTCTGCATGACCATATTCTACATTCCTAATCTTATCCAATATCTGAATTTAACAACTACCAAACTGTTAATAAGCAGCAAATTAGTAGTTTATTGAGGCAAAATTCGTAGTTAATGGTTTGTTAATATCGAGAAGTGGATCTTAAAATAAATAAATAATAAAATAAATAATCGACAAATCAATTACAACAGTAATCATAAAATAAATAAATAAATAAGCCCTAGCATATATGATTAGCACTTTTAGAACTTTTGCCAACTAAATTCCTCATTACGCAACACAATCACACCGGATCAGCATGAGGACAGATGTCAGGATACAGATCAGATGCACAGAAGGCCTAAATGATGTTAGTCTCATGAGGCATCATGCTCCTACAGTATGTCAATGACCATCTATACCGGCTAATGTATGTCCAGCCATCAGCACCAAAGCACTTCTGTGTGTTTAATTATTGATGGGGCTTAGCATTGTTTTGTGAACAACCAGACTAATGTTGCCTTTAACTGTCGTTTATCCGTCTTCTGAGAAGTGGAGACTTCCAGGATGTGCATGGTCAAGAGTTTTATTGGGAGTTGTGCGTTTCCGTTTAATGAAAAACTGGCTAATATGTTCACACAGGAGCAGAATATGGCTGTCAGTCCGGTTCAAGTGCCCCGTCAGATCCCATCACTGTCTTTTATCAGAATCAGTTTTGTGGCCTGGGCATCACTCAAATGCTGCATTATACATTGTTAAAATATATATATATATTTTAAAGCCACTGTTGGTTAATTAAGATTTGACAGACGAACTAGTGCCTTGACTGGACTTGTTTATGAAACAATATTTCAAATGAGAACTTTTGGGTGTTATGTAATTCAGCATCTTTGATATTTACTTCAGTCACTTGTCACTGGTTGCGGATATTGCTGTGGAAATAGAAAAGGCTCTTTAATTATTAGTTCATACAGATTTGATTCAATCCTCTCCTGTAAGCTGCTGTATGAGCAGAACAAGTCACACCTGTTATTAAATATATATATATTTTTAAATTTTTTTATAAATATGTAGTCGACTCGAATGTATACATTTACAGTACATTTGGTTTGTAACAGGGTTATTGTTTACTAAAACTAAAACCATACAAAAATATTTTGTTACTTGTAATAAAATAATCGTCAAATAAAATATAACAAAAAATGTTATTTCAGCTAGTTGCTGAGTGAATATTTTCATTTAGGTTAGCTCGATGTACTAAAATAACAAAAACTGAAATAAAATGAAACAATAGTTTAGACATAATAAAAAGGACAAACACAAGAAAATTACTAAAACTTTAACTAAAATGAAAATTAAATTAAAAAGTTAACTGAAAATACAAAATAAAAAATATTAATAAATATTACAACTATAATAGTATCTTTTGACGTTTAACACTTTTAAAATCAGATTGTGAATAGTGTCTAATAATAATTAATTCTTACCATTTTTTAACTAAATCCTTTTTGTTAACTGAGATTTGCGCAGAGGTTATTTGATTTTGTGAATTGGGAGGTTCAGCATCTTTCACCTGAGTTTAATATTTTGTCTTTTCAGGAGAAGAGAAAGAGGGAGGCTGCGATTGAGAACAAAAGAAGACAACTTGAGGATGACCGCAGACAACTCCAGCATCTCAAGGTATCAAGACATAACAGCTAATAAGTTGTGGATATGTTTTAAAAAGCTGAGCAGGTGTTTGCCGTGGTCATCATTCAGACGGCTGTCAGGTTTTTACCCAGAGGTTAAGAGTCAGAGCGCTGTGGTGTGTCTTCCTTATGTAATTTACTGTCTGTCTTCTATTTGAAGCCCTAGTGCTGAAATTCATAATGTGTCATGATTTTTCAGGATTTTGAAGTTACTGAAAGGAAAAGGGGAAGTTTTAACAGCAGTTTCCTGTTTGAGGGGACAAGGGAAGAAATCTGTATCCTCCCTTTAAGTTCTGCCTTGTTATGATAAGTCAGGCCGTCTCATATATTTTCGTTTTTAGAAAACTCATTTACATTTTATGGGAATCATGAGATCCTTTTAATTTTAATGGCCTTTTTTACTTTATTTAAATGTAACCACATTCTTCATACAAGGTACACCTCGGTAGGACAACATTTTTAGAGTTGCCGTCTGTATTTTGTTCACAACTAGAGGCATTAAATTGAAAAGCAAAAATAATGACCGTTTTTTAAACAGGTTTCTAAAGCAAAAATTTGCCCTCTCTCCCCTTATGTTTGTACTTTTAAGAGAAAACAACCCAAATTTTAGTTGTCTCTGCAAATTAGGCCTGAATAGAAGAAAGTGTTTTAACAAATACAAATAATAATAAACACAGAAGCTTTAAAGTTTATAAATGTAACTGTTCTGACTTTAACAGATCAGAACCTACTTTTCACAGACATGCATATTTAATCATAGTCATTAATCTTTTAAACGTGTGCAAAATACTTAATTATGTACTTCCATTATTTGACAGCAGTCAAACAATCAGGTGTTATAAAAACAGTTCATTAATGAACTGTATATATTATTTTTATGATCTCTAAATGCCTGCATACATTGCATACTACAGTTTCTTTTAAGCCAAAATACGAAAACTGCTTAATTTACGCGAATCCTAAAGATCCCAAGTCTGCTGCAGAGAATCCCTGGTCAAAAATAACTTGCCTGCGTGCCTATCCTCATCTCCCAAGTATCCGGCAAGGCGATTGTTTCCCTTTTGTTATCTGTCAGAATGTGATATTTTTTGTTTGTTAGTTTTATACCTGCCATTGTTTTTTGTGCATAAGGGATTTTGCTCAATAGGGAACAATGGAGCAGGCCTTAGTTTCCTACCGAGCGAGACTCAGATCCTTTGTCCTCCCTCTGTGCTGGGATTGTATTGCGTGTGCATGTGGATGGGTGTGAACATGTTGTGATGTCATCATATCTGTCACCATGCCAGAAGTTGCGGTCACAAATCCAAAGCAGAGGGAGGGGAAAGAGAGCAGGAGAGGGTCATTTTGGACTGTTTTGAATGTGGAAGTCACAAGATATTATACAAAATGAAGTAACTTGTTGCTAATTCTATGTGAAGGATTACGTCTGATACTGACCCAGTTTCATAAGAATAGGGAGTAGGTAAGACATTTTAAGAAGGCAAAATGTAAGATCTCATGTTTTTCCATTTGGTCATTTTCAGACTGCACACAATAATGTCAGTAATTGCCTCAGGCTTTTTTAGTTCATGTGACTGTGCTTTTTCCATGAATGACTCTTTTTGACATTCTGCGAATCGTTTTTTTTTTTTTTTTTCTTGTTATGATGAGGTTTTTTGTCCATTCCGTAATAAATCTGAGTTCACTTGCCTTTAAAAAACTAATCGCACACACACTTTTTTAGCAACTAGGGAAGAAGTGTCTTAAGCATTATTAAAGGGGTCCTATTATGCTTTTTCACTTTTTCAACTTTAGTTAGTCTGTAATGTTGCTGTTTGAGCATAAAAAAGATCTGCAAAGTTACAAAGCTCAAAGTCCACTTCAAAAGGAGATATTTTATTTAACAGAAATCACTTTTCAAAAACTACAACGAACGACTCGTTTGGACTACAATGCATATTTTCTGGGATTTGCGATATCACAAATATCGACGAATGGGACGAGACCTGGTTGAGTGGCACTAGAGAAGGCAACGAGTGTTATCATCACTATGTTGGAGACGCGCTAGCTTTCCCAAGGCAGACAAACTTAGAGTGGTTACAATCATGCGGGTTTAAATCGCGCCTGTTCTAGTACACCTCCAAAACAAAATCAAGACTTTGTAAAAGAGCATAATAGGACCCCTTCAAGAGTGGACTTGCTATAAGAAAAGACATCGTCAGACCTCAGATTTACAATGCAACGATGGATGCTGTGCTGCTTGTATGGTTTACTATTACTTAATATTTTTTACCATACTCTTCTTTCTAGTCTAGCAAATGAGGTCCCTTGTTTGTCCATTGACCTTCGTCTTCATGCTTTTGTTATTTTGGGGGTTTCACCTCACATTTCCTCTCCTCCTTTCATCCCACTCTTAGTTTTTTCTTTCTTTTCATTTTCTTCTCTAGAGGCCTGTCGGAATGAATCTTTCAGATGTCAGCCTTGCAGAGCTCAGACACCACTGTCTGTACTGTAGAAACCGTAAGAATGAAAGGAAAAAAGGCATCAAACCTGAAAGCAACTGTATAAAATTCTAGAAGTTTGTGACTTAATCTAATTCTCAAATAATGTCATCACCTACATCTCAGCTTCCTTTTTGTGCAAGTTTTAAGCTCTTTATGAAACAATAGGTGTTATCTCTTCTGTTTTGTCTTATCATGGGTCTTGGGTTCACTGTTTGATGTTCAGCAGATGTTTGTTTTTATCTGCTGCAGGTTGAACAGTCTCTTCTGTCTCTGCTGCACTAGAATAGAAACAGCACTGGTGGCAGCAGCAGTTTGTGATAAATTTGTTTGACATAAAAAAGCTTATGCCATTAATCACTAGTGCTCTGTTTGCATTTGTCTCATAATGTGACAACTGAATGAAACAGGATATTCAGTGGGGGGAAAAAGTAGGGCGGCCTTTTTTTTTTTTATTATACTGTATGACAGGTGACTGGATGCAAAGGGACTCTATAGACATCCAGTGTGCCAGGATGCCTTGCATTTCTAATTCTAGTGCATTGCCATCTAGTGCCACCTATGCTTGTACCCGAAATATCTTCCATCCTTGTGCCAGACACAGATGTCAGAATTCTCTTTAGACAGCAGTGGTTCATTCTGGTCCTGCCAGTCTAACCCTGCTCTGGCAGGAAGCCCTTTTTGAGCAGGCGCCTGTCAAAATGTTTCACTATCCAGAAATGTGCATAGTGTGCATTAGTAGCCATGGAGAATGCCCTAAAGTAAAAAACTAATGGACAGCTAATGGTCATGTGCTACACTAACCTTAATGGTGCAGATTTGTTTACGTCAGCACAATGAATCAGACTGACATTAACTCATTTTTCAAGCATTCATTTTGTCAATATCATGCAATTAGGGACATGATATAGGGACCATATACACACACTTACTCAGCAAGAATGCATTACACTGGTTAAAAGTTACAGTAAAGACATTTATAATGTAAATGCTGTTCTTTTGAACTTTATTCATCAATAAAATACTGAAGACAAAAAAAAATTATCACGGTTTCTACAAAAATGAGCACCATATTAGATTTCTGAAGGATCATGTGACACTGAAGCTGAAAATTCAGCTTTGCAATCGTGAATAATTTACTATTTAAAATATATTTAAATACAAAAACATTATTTTAAATTGTAATATTTCATAATATTACTGTATAGTATTTGCAAGATGTTTATGCTGTTGAAGTGTTGTTAACTCCTCTAAAAAGACATCTCTAAGCCATTGGTTTGTTTTAACAGTCAAAGGCATTGAGAGAGCGATGGCTGTTGGACGGAGCGCCATCCAGTGGAGAGGATGAGGCACAGAAACAACTACAAGAGGATGAAGCCAAGACCAAACTACTGGAGCAGACCATCCTCAGGTTAAGACCAGTCATTTAGTCATTTGATACCTTCCTTAGTCCCAGACAAAATTCTAGCATACATTGCTCACATGTTCACTTATCTTTTCCATTAACAGACTAGAACAGGAGATTGATGAGCTTGAGAGTGGAGAGCCTTTGAATAAAGGAGAAAATGTAAGCTATTAAGTTTGCTCAATGTGATTTTTTTTGTTAGTTTAGTAAAGGTTTTAATTCTGATAATAATAATGACTTTCTGTCATATGTCTTCTCTACTAGGCACCTGATGGTCCAGTGAAGGGTGAGTGTGGAAATATGCTGTATATTTTAATATTTTCAGTTCTCCATCATCTCTGTATAAATGTAACAGAAAGGACTGACTTGTTATCAGTTTGTTTGCAGTAATGGCCACTGTGTAATTTCACTGTTGTCATGTGAAAGAGCCAACGGGTCTAACAGAGTTCAATGAATATTCATATAAATACTGAATAGCAGCTTCATCTAAAATCATTAACTGATTATTCCATTTGGCTTAAACAGTAGTGCAAGTAAAATTAGTCTCTTTCTCTGTCCCCAGCAGTAGAGAATGGCATACAGCAGCCCAGCCCTAATGCAGATCAAAATAGCAAGAAACAGATCACAGGCATTGAGGCCAAACTGCAGTGCACCAACCCTGATGTAGCCATTGAGAATGCCAGCGCAGAGCATCCCGTCACCATGGTGTTCATGGGCTACAAGAATGTAGAGGATGAGGCTGAGACCAAGAAGGCACTGGGCATAGAGGAGACAGTGAAAGCTGAATTTGTGGTCATTGAGGATGGCGAGAGCAAAGCTGGAAACGAAGGGGCCAAAGAGGACCAGGCCCCACCTAACGGCAGCGCCTCCAGTCCCGACAAAGCTCAGGACGAAGCCAAGAAGGAGGAATCGAAAGAAGGCAATTCGAAAGAAAAGCAGCCGTGCAAGTGCTGCACAGTCATGTGAGTGCGACCGCTCACCCTGAAGTTTAGACTCTGACCCCCTGACCATAACACAACAATGAATAAGTATACCCCGTATACTTATAATTATCTTTTGTTGTCTAGTATGTATTTCTTTTTTATTTCTATTAATATTTTTCTATATTTCTGTCTTGACATTTATATATCTATATATACATATATTTTCATTATGTAATCTTATGAAGTCCAGTATTTTGCTTGTTGAAGAACAGAAAAATGAGGACCACAACAGATTCCACTTTAGACAACAACACGGTTAAAAGAACATTTTTGTGGCCCTCATCTTTATTTTGTTTTAAGAAAAATAAGATGAACATCTCAACATATATGAACTAGTTATTTATCTCCCATATACATTTGTGTTTCTAAGATATTACTTTATAACTGAGAAGAAATGACTATATTGATATTACAATGTTATGCTTTTAATATATATTTTGAACCTTTTGTTTAAGGTTTTTTTTTTTTGCCAAATCATCTCAGACCACTGTGAACACTGGTACATGGAGTGTCGTCTTTGTCCACTATCATACATTCTGCATTACACCTCATAGTAGGCCAATATGTTTGTAAATATGATGCAATTATTTATGACTGTTCATGCTATGATAGAATACATGTAATCATGTTTTATTAAAATAGGCTGCTGTAGTTACCCCAGATCCCAATTATAACCACAGCAGATATCTGTTTTAACAGTACATCACTTTTTACAAGATAACCCATTTTAAACCATTTTAAATCTCTTTTTAACATGAATGATAACATTGTTAGATATAATTGTAATCAATATAAAAAAAAATTTAATTTAGTAACATTGCAATGCCTCATATTACATGTAGCCCATATTATTAAAACGCATTCTCACAGTATGCAAAATATATCTTTATATAATTTGGAAAAAATTGAAAGGGAAATTAAGGGGTTTTGGTGTTAATTGGGTTGCTGTAAGAAAACAAGAGTTCAACATCCACGTTTCAATGTTCAGGCAGTTCATTTACAATGATAAATCATTCATTAGTGTTAATTCAAGATAAATAGTCTAGGGTCTAAAACATGTTTCTCATTCTGTAAATGTAGTTTTGCCGTCTTTCTGATATTTCAATTTAATTAATTATTTCATTTTGTGTAAGTATATGTTGTGGCTGTCAAATAATGTCATGAATTATAGGTGCTTTATTGGTATGGCCAATGCCTGTTATGGTCCAAGTGTTCAAATCAGGAATAATGACAATAAACAAAACATGTTTGTTTACAGTTATGTATTGGTAATTCTTTAATAATTATATTTTCACTCACCTGCAGTCAACAAAGTCTGACACGATTACAAATGGTCAAATGTTTGGAAAATGAATTGTTTTGATTTCCCTAGGGACAAAATGTTAGCACACTGCATGATTGATAATGATATTGTGTATCCAGAGAAAGAGATTCTGTGAACTCATTTAGTTCAAATATTTACTCCGCAATTACTTTTGTTTCAGGTGTAATAACTTCAAAATCGATATTAAATGTAATTCATGATTGCAGAGTATCAACAGACAGATATCCTACCAAAAAACACATTTTAAAGGGACCCATGTGAGCCTCAAAAAACTTTTGGAGTGTGTAAATGTTGCCATCTGCAGGCTGAAATCTAATTTGATTACCTTGTGAAGCAGCAGTTTGTAGGCTAAAGTGATGCTACTCTCTACTACTGTCATGTTATATTTAGAACTGGTGTCAGGGGGGAACAACCGGATCATTGTCCTGGGCCCTGTGATGAGTGGGGCCCATTGTGGTCCTCTATCTATTCTACGGTATAGCCTACTCACTGGGCTTGAAGAAGGGGAGGCCCACCCATTAAACCTTTTCCCAGGCACATAAATTCTAGTGACAATGCCGATTATATTAGCATTCCACAAAGATGGTAGATAAATGACTCAAAGATTTTAAATTTGAGTACATAGGCAGAAACAATTTGGTGAATTAAAGTAAATGAGGCTATCATTTCCCATTCATGTAAATGACAAAATGGCTTAAGTTAAAGTAACAATTCACCCAAAAATGAAAATTCTGTCATCATTTACTCATCCTGTGTTGTTCCAATTCAAGTGTCATACACTTTCTACGCTTTATTTCTTGTGTGGGAGCACAAAAGATTTATTTGAGGAATGCTGTTAACCAAACTAATCACTGACATTCATGTGGACACAACTGACAAGTTCCTCAAAGTATCTCCTTTTGTTACTCGGAGTCGGAAGACTGAAAAAGCCTGAAGATAGAATTTTCATTTTTGGGTGAAAAATTTACACTAAGCCAAATTGTAGAACAATTAAATGTGCTTAGTGGTTAATGGTGAAATTAATCAATTAAATTGCTCAGTGTCTTTAGGTTTTCTAGAGTATAAAGTCATATTTAAATTTTAGACTAAATATCAGCTGATTTATGCCACCTTCAAATATCATTATAACCTTACTGTTCTTAGCTAATTAAATATCTTAGCAAAGCGTCGTGAAAAACTGTTTTTCTCTCTGACTGAACAGCCTCGTCCTTGTCGTTGCTGATAATGGGTTCAAGCACAGTTCACTCCTCCACTTCATTTCTCATGGTGGCAACCGGGAAAAGTTTTCGCAAACTTTTTTCGACCGCTTTCTCCAGATTGACAGCCTTTCTGTCCAATCCCGTTGTCGAAGAACATTTGAAGCCCCTCCCACACTCGGCGCTCCAGGGTCGACGGACTAATCAGCAAGCGCCAATCCCCCCTCCGCCATTTTGTAAGGATATAAGAAATACTAGCAGGTCTACCTCCCGTCTACGACAACCTGTAGTTTTGTTAGTGCCATGGACGGGTAAGTTGAAAACACCCTCATTCCAAGTTTGTTACCCCTTAAACATGTTTTTGTCTTCGGATATTTTATACATAGTTGTTACTTAGTACATCATGCGCGTTTAAAGTGTGTTAAATGACGCGAAGTGAAGTGGAAATGGTGATTTTTGACTCGCCTCTGCCGCTCTTCATGTCTCCCGAGCCGGAAGAGCCCAAAAGTTGGACCAAACTGACCAGCAACCTGTTGCAAGTCGTCTAGTTGAGACAGCTTCATAAAACACAAGGGAACTAGAACTACAGGATTTTTTTAACCTTACGCTCAAGCGGAAAAGATCAAACGAGTCTTGTAACGTGCAGAAGCGAAAGAACAGCCATTATTTGGCAACCAACGTGTCTCGGTTTCCGCATTGTTGTTGGGTGGCTAGCTAATTACCTGCTAGCCTGCTAAACCGATGCCAGTTCAACTTTATTCTTGCTTTTCTCGTTTGTATTGTCGATGCACGTTACATATGTTTCAATCATTACTAAGTACGTTTGATAAACGTGCGAAAGTCCGGGCACAGTACGTTGGCTGTTGTACATAATGACGCGGTGAGGATGTCACTGGTGGTTCAGAAATAATCTTGATTTAAGGGTTTGAATAATAACGTTTTATTTTTTCGTGTAAGGATAATCGAAAAAATTATTTAGAAGCATGCACATGCTTACGCTGAATATAAAAGGTACACGTTGTGTTCGCAGGGGAGATTGAGCTTAAAATGTACATTTTTGTCATGTTACACACCATGTTTCAAACCTTTATAAATTAATTTCTTTAATAGAACAGAAACGGAGATGTTAGGCAGAACGACAGCCTTCAGTCTACAATAAAAGTTCATGGTGACCGAGACCTGTCATTGAGCATAACATCTCTCTTTGTATTCAATGGAAGTTAGAAAAAGCGTACAGGTTTAAAACATGACCCCAAAAAAAATCCTGTTTTTGTTTTCTGCAGCCGTTTAGAGACTGATCTGTATCCTCTGGGATCCAGTTACGTCACTGAAATAGAGTAAGTTTTGCATTTCTATAAATATTCACTGGTTGTACTGCATTATCATCTGAATTGACCTAAACTGAAGAATTCAAGATCTATTTCCAAGAAAAGCGTGAAAACATTGATATTGTTGATTGGCAGAAAGAGTGGCTTAACAGGCCTGCTTTGTTTTACTGTTTGCCTTGTGTATCAGGTTGCCGCCTAGAAGGTGCAGCCTTAAAATGTAACCCTTCTTTTGTACAACAGCCGTCTGTTGTTCCTCCTGGGCCCATATTCAAAATAAAAATCATCTGTTATGTAACCTAATATAAATCTACATTAGCATTTGACATTTTTGTATCGGTAAGTATCTTGAGCCCTGTTCACACTGATTAAATCATTGAAGGATGGCAAGTCACTGTGTCAAACTTTCTGGCAGTTCTGTCTGCACTCACATTGGTAATCACTGCATTGTTGCTGATTATCAGCATAAAGTTGAACTCTTAACAGATATCATTCATTTTCAGTAAGTGTTGCCGATTTTGTTGGCAATGCAGTGACTTGGTGACCTTCAGTGATTTGGTCATTTTTAGAATGCATGCAAAGTCAGCGTAAAATGCAAATGCACTTTTTGTGTTTTTTTTTTTTTTGCCTCAATTTATTACAACCGTAAGTCAATGTTCTGATGAAATGACAAACTTAAATCATTTACTACACTTAAACCCCACCCCTTTCTACATGTCTTATTCAAATTTGCCTCCGTCCAATCAACAACTGATGGGTAGAACCAAGTGCCCACCCTGCTTTTTTTTCCCCTTTTTTCCAATAGTCGGTTTCACTCAGTTACGTCACAATACGGAAGAAACTATTGTCTCGGCTTCTATTGCATCGCAACTTAAAATATTGCATAGACCTGTCTTTTGCTGCATTGCCATCAAATGTACTTTAGCATCAAGACTTCTGTATTTTCTAATATTCTGTTTAACTTTTGTTCTTTTGTAGCAGTGTCCATGATATAACAGTCGGCACAAAGGTATGTCAATTTATTTTTCAAACTTTTTTTTTTTTAAATCGATAAATGTTGTTTTTTCCCTAATTGTTTGTTGCAGGTGTTCAATAACAATACTAGTTTTGGTTGTATATCTGGTTTTAGAGGTTATACCTTCCTCTTTTCTTAAATTGCTGAGACAAAGGGAACCACTCTAAATTGCTGAGCCTGAAATTCTTGTCCCATCTGCATTTGATCCTGCGACTGTAATTACTCTAGTCAAAGGTCACCTACTGTTTAAACA